AGCAGAAGCAGCATTAGGATGGGAGTGGGGATTGGCACAGGTAGTTGGGCCATGTGGCTACCTGGCTTTCAGCAACGGCAGCGGGAACCAGGGCATAGGATGTAAATCAGGGTATGGATCGCGCCATAGATAAAACTGTGCCAGTTTCCTAACAGGCCTGAAACCCCTTTTCTCTACCTAGAGATAACAGGCAGTCAGATAACACCTACCCTGAAGAATGTAGCCACATTGCATGACTTAGGAAGATCTCTTTCTTCCTTAAGGCTTAAGTCACCATGCCTTATCTGAAACTACAGGAAGGACCAGCCTTAGAAATACCTGCTCAGTTAGGCACCATCAAACAGGTATAATTGGGAGCCAGGCAGTACCAGATTTAAAAAAAAAAAAAACAGACCAAACTAGCACCAGTAAGACTCAGAAAATTAAATTATCATTGAGAAAAAACAAAATCCCTAAAAGCAGGCCAGGACCTTTATGTTAAACCTAAGCTAGGTAAAGGCCTACTAAGATAAAAGATTTAAATAGGGTCTGGAATCCATCCCCTATCATAATATTCAAAATGTCCAGGATACAAAAGGAAATCACCCAATATACTTATAATAAGAAAAATCACAACATGTATGAGACAAGATAATAACCCACAACTATATCAAGAGGAATCAGATGTTATAATATTCTCTAAAGCAACCATCAGAAAAAGTTTTAACAAGAAATTATTATTGCTATGGAAACAAATGACAAAGAGCATTAGAAACAAAATAGACATTGTTGAAAAGGTAACACATTGAAATTATACTACTAAGAAATACAAAAGCTAACAAGAAAAACTTGATAGTCTCAGTAGTAAAGATAACAAAGGATAGAATCATTGAACTTGAAGACAGAAACAATAGAAATTGCACAATCTAAATGTAAGAGAAAGTAAATAAAAAAAAAGCATCTCTGGTATAATTATAATATGCAAGGGCCTGTGGCATAATAATAAAATAGGCAACATACATGCAGAGTCATAGAGAGAAAAAGATAGTGGGACTGAAAGATTTTAGGAAACCATGGCAGAATATTTTGCAAATTTGGGAAAAGGCATAAACCTACAGATTCAAAAATCTAAACAGATTTCAGATAAGTTTAATCTAGTAAACTCCATGCCAAGACATATTGTAATTAAACTTCTCATTAGAACAAAACAGGAAATGAATTTGACAATGGCCAGAGAAAAATGAGACATTTACTATAGGGAAAGACAAATTCAAATTAAAGGAGTTTCTTTAGGAAAACAATTGACCTTTGAGACATACAAAGTAGTTTTTCGTGTTCCAACTATGTAACATTGCAAATCCTCAGAATGATGCAGGCAAGTATTCCAGGTATGAGAGGAAGAAGAAAAAGGGGAAATGCTTATTTTCCCTCAGTCATGAAATCTCTCCCATCAAATGTACAACAGGTGAAGGGATAAGGACTCAGGGAAAGACAGAATGGGAGAGAAGAGTGAGGAAAAAGTGCTTAGTTACTTTCCAGGTCTTTCGAGTTTCTCTTAAGGACCCCTTATTGAGTGCGACTGTTGGAGTATTGACTGAAATTGCCTAATAAGAGAATATGGGGTGGGGATTGGATAGAATTGCCATCTTGAGCCATGTTGTGTGCAGTACTCCACTTCAAGAGGTGCCAATCATGTGTATGTGATATGATTGGCATCTCTTAGAGGGATGTAATGTACAACAGGTACAACCTCAGAGCTTTCTCTGAGAAAAGGAGTGTGATTATATCTACATACATGTCATTTCTTGAGTCTCACAACCACCCACTCAGTACTAGTGCAAATCATTGGACACTTTCAAGAGCTTTTTATGGGATCAAAGCTAGGGAATGAAGTTCTTTAGGAATAGCCTCATCAGCAGATTCTTCATGTCTATATATTACTGTTCAGAAAATCAATTCTAACACCTTCAGTCATGCTGTGTACAGTAGCCTACTCAGGAAGGCATTATTCATGTATTTTGATGTGTGAATGGTACACTTCTGAGTAGAGTAATGTGCAACATGGACAACATTCGTAGTACTGGTGATAATGGGTAGATCTTCAGTCATAGAGCTGCACTTTCTTGAACACTGTTACCCAACCTTCAGTGGTATGTCACTTCCAAAGACTTTCTGAAGCAACTCTTGGAACACTTGACTCAGAATGGGAGGGGCTCTGGAAAATCCCTAATGTACATTTTTCAGACTTTTATTGTTTTTTCTCCATAAAAGGAACAAGGTTTGGGGTACAAACATAATCTTCCTTCTCTTGTACTCCTTAGCATTCCCTCTCTACGCAAACCAAATGCACTTCTTGCCTTAAAATCCCCTAAAAAGTTTACACCTATATGCTTTGCTCATATTATTTAAGCCTTTTCTTCAGGTAGATCATACAATCTTCTGCTCTTACTAAACCACAAACTCTGAATCCTCTTATGGAGGATTCTCTTCAAGTCTTAGAATCTCTTAAACTGCTCTGAATATTCCAATGTATCCTTGATGATTGCATAATATAAATAGAGTCTCAGACAGTGCCGAAGTCCAGTTCCCAACTGGATTATTAAGCTGATTTTTAAGCTGATATTTTTAATTTCAAAAAAATTAAAAATTTTGATTGACATATAATTACGCATATGAATGTATGGGGTGAAATGTGATGTTTCAACACATGTATATATTGTGTAATATTAAATTAGAGTGATGAGCACATCCATTGTTTCAAACATTTACTGATTCTCTGTGGCAAGAAAACTGAAAATTTTCTAGCTACTTTGAAATATGTATTACTGTTAACTGTGGTTACCATACTATGCAATAGTATACTAGAATGTGTTCTTCCTCATTCCCTAACAGTAACATTGTATCCATTAACCAATTCTCACACCTCCTACCCCCACACATCCTGCTCCCTTTCCCTCCACAGCCTCTGCAACTTATATTCTACTCTTCATTTCTATGAGGTCAAATTTTTCAGATTTTACCTATGAGTGAGGTCATATGATATTTGTCTTTTTGTGCCTGGTTTATTTCACCTAACCTAACGTTGTCTAGGGCCATCCACGTTGCTTTGAATGACACAATTTCAACGTTATTTAATTTCTGTATTCAGTATGTACATTCCATTGAGTATATGTACCACATTTTATTTATCCATTCTTTCTTTGATGGCTACTTATTGTGAATAGTGCAGCAATAAACAAGGGAGTACAATGTCTGATTGACAGATTGATTTCATTTCCTTAGGATATATTTGTATATCTAGCAGTGAGAGTGATGCTTTGTAGGATAGCTCTGCTTTTCTTTTGAAGGGATATTAAGCAATTTTGTGCCAAAAATATTGTTAACATATGTGGAATGCATGTATTTCTTCAAAAAAATTTAAAACTGCCATGGAAAACATTTTGAATAGCCCTAAATGTATCTGAGAAATTAAATTATTTTTTCTCTGATATGTGGCAGTTAATATAGGATACAAAAATTTATAGGAATGAAACAGATTGTGATACGATTGTTGTTTTTAGTCCTTGTTTATACTTCTGTGGAACTGTAGTCTTCTTACTTTTACTTGTTGAATTTATGGTTAGTGGTGAATTAAGCTTGTGATTATAGAGGGTATTGAAATTATATCTTTGCAAAAATTAAAGGGAAAAAAGAAAGGAAAGGAGGGGAATTGAGGGAGTGAGTTAGGGAAGGAAAGAAGTATGGTTATTATGTTAGATCTGTACCTATGAGATACATGAAATCTGTTCTCTTTTCATTAATAAAAATTAAAAAGAAACTATTCATGGATTTCAAATATTTTTGTGCCAAAATGAACATATATTTTAATTTTATTTTTCCATGAACTTTCTAAAGTACTATCTTATATTTAGTGCATATATATAATTATATATTATCTGATTATAAAAATATTACTTAATTATAAATTAATATATTTATATAAGGAATTGGCTCATAAGATTATGGAGACTAGCAAGTTCAAGATCTACAGGGTTAGTTAGCAAGCTGGAAACCCAGAAGAGCCAATGGGGCAATTCTAGTGAAAGAACTAGCCGGCTTGAGGCATAGGAAGAGCTAGTATTTCAATTGGAATACAAAGCCAAGAGAAATGTGATGTCCCATTTTGAAAGCAATCAGGCAAGAGGGATTTTCTAACTCAGGGGAAGACCAGCCATTTTGCTCTATTCAATCTTTCATCTGACTGGTTGAGGCAAACCCATATTATAGGAACCACTCTGCTTTACTCATTCTACTGATTTGAATGTTAATATCATTCAAAGAGACCTCTATAAAAACACACAGAATGATTGCCCAAATATGTGCTCACTCCATGGCCCAGGCAAGGTGAGACAAAATTAATCATTACAAGTCCACCCCTTGTCACATTGGTACTCATTTACATCTCCTTAAACCACACTTAATCTCCAACTAAGACAATTCCAAGGTTGTAATTTCACCTAATACCCACAAGCATCCTTGATAATAACAGAAATTCTCTCATCACTTCACCAGAAGTGTTGGGACTCCTGGCATGATTTTTATTCTTTTCCTTGATATTCTACAACTTAATGCCATGATTTATAGTTAATAACTAATTAGTATAATGTGATGACAATACATCTTATAGCTTATGTTACATGTTATACAGATAAGAGAGAAGACAACACAAACATGAACACACATACAAACACACACACATCCCTAATAGCAAAATAAAGAGGAAATACTTAGAATAACTACAGCCCTCATTTCTGTAACTAATCACATGGTGGTAGCTGGCATTTATAACTAACTTCTTTCACAATTCATTCCATGTTCTCTGCCTTAAGCAAGTATCTCTGCTGGCCATATTTTTCTTTTGTTTTGTTCTTTACCAGATGAGATTATCTATACCTTCATTCCTGAGGGGTCTGGACTAAACACAGTCCTGCCTGGATTGAGTTATTGTAGTCTTCCATTGACCTGAGTCACAAGGTAAGGCAAAGTTAAGAAATGCCCTAAGGGATCTCCTGTTTTTCAGACACATTCTTCCTAACCTCCACTGTGTTGTAGTCTAACTTCCTCCTTGGTAATCAGGATCAGCTACCCTAGCCTACACAGGAACTCTCCTTTTGGACTTCTTTTGAGAGAGAGAGAGAGAGGCAGACATAGACAGAAACAGATGAGACTAGTGCAATGCCTTTTTAAAATCGCTGTGTTGGGAAGTGTGGAGTACTCTGTTGCCTCCATCCAGGTAAGCTCTTTTAAATTAAAATCAAATGAATGAAGTGTTGGTTATGGAATTTACTGCTCATTTCAGAATAGCCACATACCCCTCCAAACCTCAGAAACTTGGGAGGGAATATAGGTTGCTTTCTTTCCTGGGACTGTTACTGTTCTAACATGTATGTCTATTGTTCTCAGTGTCTGAGTATTATCTTTGTATACTTGAAGAGTTTCTCTGAGCACTGGGTCTTAGCTAACCTAATATATACTTGTTGGTGATAGTGACTTTTGATATTTCTATTTATATGGCAGTGCAGGAGTCATATATGTGTTTATATGTGCTTCAGTATGCATGGCTTCTAAGTGTGTGCATGGGGGCATGTTGTTCTAGGCACTTTGGATTTTATCTCCTTTAGTTATACTTTTGTTATTTCTATCAGTTTGTTTCATAAGTAGCAGTTTGCTTTCTTTCTTTGGCTCCTTTGAGATTTTGTGTGTTTGAATTTGTTCTTAGATCTGGCATGTTCTTTGTTATTGATATTTCGATTTCTGTGTTTTTATTTTTTCTTTACTGTGTGTTTCTTGGAATTTTGTATTTTCTTTTACATTGTTACTTGGATTTCACTGGATTTCTATTTGTTGCATCTTCTATTGGCATATGGGTTTATGTTTATATTTGTTTCCACTTTAAATTCTGTTTCTAGAATTCTTTTGTTAATGTATCAGTTTGGCTCATGATTAGTTCTTTGTATTTAGTTTGCAAATTTTTGTTCTTTATTTGTTTTGAATTTTGCGTTTTCTTTTGGCTATTATTGTTTGTTGCATTTTTATTTGCATATTGATTGGAGTGTATATTGTTTGAACTTTGAATTATGTGATGCCAGAATTTATACAGTGACTTTTCAACTGGGCTCGTGGTTATTTCTGTGTACTATATGGATTTTTTTACTAGATTATTGTTTGTTTAGTTGTGTCTCTGTGTCTGTATATGTTGTTTTATTGGGCAGTAGTTTGTAACTATCCTGCTGTGTGCTAGATTGTTGCAAAAGCTACTTTGAAGCTACTGAGATGCCCATGAAGTGGAGGAGAAGAATTTCATTTGTGCTAGAAACTGAAGGAGAGAGTGAGTTTTGTGTTATTGTTAATTTTTTTTTCCGTTCAGAACTTTAGAGAGATGTATTAAGGGACCAAACACATCAGGGAAGATGCAAGTGGACATAGCTTAATAAACAAAATAATTCAAAATATCTCAATCCCTTCCTTTCATTGTCTTGATATCTATGAAAAATAGCATAAGTTGGATTCTGCAGAATAAGTTGCAGGTTAGGCATTGAGGTATTTAGAATTATCTGCTTCATTGAGTTTTTTTTTTCTTTTCCATGATTCAGCTCTAAGACTGAGCTGTGTGCTTCCCTGTTCATGGGGTGGGGATAGTGGTGGGGAGGCATAGGTGTTCAGCAGACCATGGATGGGAGTGGTGCACAGGAGTCAGAGCACTCATTATCCTTTTATATCATCATTAAAAAGTAAATGGCTAGTGTGCAAGATGCATCTAGTAGTTTAATCTTGTTAAACTGAATGCAGAACGATAAAGCCGAGAATCCTATGGAGAGAGTTATCTCCATCTGTCTGCCAACACAATTTCATTATATCTACTATGTCAACATTAGATAGGGCACTTCTCTCCTATGTTCATTGCTATATTATAATTGCATTAGGAAATTAGGAAGAAAGGCGTGTTTTTAAAATTTGCACTAGGGAAAAATAAGACACAGTCTAGGAGACCTGTATATTTTTCTCTCGAGAGCATAAATATAGGGCCATAAGTTTTCATGTGTCTTCCTGTAATGCACACACATATTAGGGAATTGTATTCTCTATAATATTTAAACCACTTTATTGAGATACAATTCACGTGTACAGTTCCCTCATTTAAAGACTGTAGTTGAATAGTTCGTAGTATGTTTACAGTTGTGCAACATTTACTGTCAATTTTAGAACACTTTCACAACATAAAAAAGACATTCTATTACTATTAGTAATCATTCCTCATTTCTCTATCTGCTCCATTTATCCTCCAAATAACATCTCCAGCTCCAGGCAATCACTTATCATTTTTTGTCTCTATATGTTTGCCTAAGGGAAAAAATAACTTTGTGAAAAAGGATGGGCAATAGGACACATGCAGACTGGAAAACATCCAGATTACATTTTCTTTACCTGTGTCACACTTTTCGTTTCAATAATGAGAAACTTAGCTAGTATGTATCTATTCAGATCCTCTAGTATTTCTCTCACAAGCATGTTTTCTGTACTTTTAAATCAGGCTTCTCTTTGTTTAAATATTCTCCCATGTATCATCTCCCAAATTGTCCAATATCTATTTTGTCAATGGACCTTCGGGCACTTAATAGTCCATGTCTAAGAATGGGGAGACACAAAACCGTGATTAAAAGAATATTCTATCCATGGAAAGGCTCAGAAAACCAAGGAGATGAGAGGAAGAAAAGTACATTTACAGGAATCATGAAGATTTCCTGTTGTGTAGATCAGTCCTGAAAAGAAAAATGAGCTTTTATTCACTCTGTGGATGGAGGAAGAAACTGATCTCTACAGCTTCCATTCTGACACCTACTGATGACTGTCCTATTCTTTTCTTCCAGAATCCTGTGTGTTTTACTTATTCTGTGGCTCAGGAATTGAGGTGAGTGACTTGGATAAAGGGACTCAGAATTCTGACAAGACAGGAGTAGGTTAGAGGGATATTTTCTGCTTTAACTATTGGATTTGGGGAATGCAAACTGCTTCTTAATACTTCATATATAAAAGACATAGGTCAATCATGCAAAATTGTATCTTCCATGATCAAGGGAGCCTAACAGGAAGATTTAATGATCTCTAGTTCTGAAAACTTCCATATGAAAACTCCAATATGTGGAAAGATGGCACTCAGGAAGAGACGGGTGAGTAAAAACACAAGGGAATGTGCTACAGAGGTCCATTGGTGGCCACTCACAGCCTGAAAATGTTGATGTATACTCTATTATATTACTGGTATACTATAGTATATTACTTTCTTAGGGCAGTCATAACAAAGTACTGCAAACTCAGTGGCTCGAACCAATAGAAACGTGCTGTCTCATAATTCTGGAGGCTAGATGTCTGGGTGTCAGCAAAGTTGTGATCTCTCTAAAAGTTCTAGGGAAATTCTTCCTTGCCTCTTCCTAGCTTCTAGTGATTTGCTGGTATTCTTTGGTGATCTTTAACTTGTAAATTAGAATAGAGCCCCACCCAACTGCAGCATGATCTCATCTTAACTAAGTAGATCTGCAATGATCTTATATCCCATGAAATCACATTTTCAGCTCCTAGGGATTAGGACTTCAACATATTTGGGGGGAGGGGAGAGTACATAATTCAATCCTTAAGAGAAAAGTTGTTTGAAAGGCACATGAGTGAGTGTTTAAGCAGAGCTGCCATCCCTGGATACACTGTGTGCTGTGCTCTACTCAAGACAGTGGCAATCATGTATAATTAAATATGATTGACACGTCTATGAGTGGAATAAGGCATGACACATACTACGTAAGTGATGGCACTGTATATACACTGGTGAGTTTTTAAAATGTGTTTATTTGAGGAGCAACAAGAAAGATAGAGAAAGATAGATAGAGCCCCTATCTACTGCTTCATTCCCCCAATGAATGTGGATGGACTAGAGCAAGCTAGGAACTAGAAGCTCATTCAAGGTTTCTCATGTGGGTGGCAGGACCCCAATCACTTAGCCCATCACTTGTGCTTCCAAGGACCTGCATTTTCAAGAAGATAGAATTGGGAGCCAGAATTAGGGATTGAACCCAGGTACTAAAATGTGGGGTGTTTATTAATTTGGAATACAGAGAGATACAGTTAAAAAGATCTCCCATTCACTGGTTTACTTCCCAAATATCTACAGTAGCCAGCACTGATTCAGACCAATGCCAGGAGCACAGAAGTCATTCTGGGTTTCCCTCATGGGTGTCAGGGACCCAAGTATATGAACCATCACCAGCTGCTTCACAGGGTATGCATGAGCAAGAAGCTGGAATCGGGAGTAAACCCAGGACCTGAACCTAGACACTCTGATGTGGGATGTGGGCATCCCACGTGGAATCTTCACCACTGTAATGAGCACTCACCTCAGCAAGTGAGTGTCTTAATCAATGTCGTAACCACTATGCTAACATGCTCATCTGAATTGGTAGAGCTTTATTGCTAGCAAAAGAATGCTTTCCCCAGAGCCCATGCACACCTCTTCCTAAGTTACTTATATCAGGTTACTCTTTCAGACTGCCTCAAGGGGCTATTCACAACCTCCAAGAGTTCTAAACTTTTGAGCTACATAGAACTTGTCTGGGCCTGCTACCTGAAACTACATATACATTGCATATCACTAGAGTGTTTTTATTTTACTTCTCTACTTGGTGATGATCCCTGAGGTTTAATAGAATATGATATGAGAAAACAGATATCATTAGCTACAACTGTCATTACATAGTTGTCATAACCTGCTAACTCTAGGTTTTTAAGACACACCAGCAATTTTGTTTCTTGGGTTGGTTATACTATACTGTAAGCCAACTCTAAGGTAGAGTCAGATAGTCCCTGATTTTATGTAGGTTACAACTCCCTGATAGACAGATGGGAGCTGAGCTCAAGAAAGTATTCAAAGATAGAGTCACTTATGCTGTGCCCTCCCCTTGCCTATGGAGACACTGGTTATTGCCATTGCTGCCATTGCGGCTACTGTTGCAGTAATCTTAGATTGATGATACAAAGATAACAGCCAAGGACATGACCAAGTACCTTGTTAGAGTAAGGAATTGTCAAGATATGGCCCTGAGAGATCAGTCAGGATTGTGTTGACTTCACAAAGTGGTTACTTAAACCATTTGTCTCTTGTCATCTCTCCAGGCCAAGAGAACACAAAATTTTAACAACTTTCAAGTCCCAGGGGAATTCTGCCTGTGGTACAGTTGAGTAGAGAGGCCAAAGGTAACATACCCCTTCCACACACTGGCCCTATGCTTGAGATAATAGTGAATTTTAGTCTAAAGAAATCTCATCTATCTCTTTCACCATCTATCAGGTTTAGGTTTTCAGGGAAAAGGAAGACACCTTGTGGCCTATGTCTCAACAAAGAAAGGTAAAAACATTCTCTCAAGAACCAGGCCATTATTGCAAAGCTGTAAATGTCAGGCCTGAGAAGAAAAAGAGTATTCGGTGCACCCTAAACCTGTCTCTTCTGGGAGATCACTCCAGGTAGGATAAGAGGATGGGACTGTGACTGTGTTGTTTTCAGTGACGAAGAAATGGGATTTCTGACCACTTAATATTGGTCTATAATCTTTCCACTTTCCTCCAATGTTTCCTTTCCCTTTTCACTGGCTCTTCTGTGATTTTGATTTTTAAAATGCTATTCTGAGCAAAATTTTGGGAATTTTGAAGTGTGCTGGTTTATAGACTTTAATTTGAGGGGAAGGAAATCATATGTAATGCACGCACTATTCTTAACACTATCTTATATATATGCCAAGCTATTTTTAAAAAGTGAAAGCAGAGATTACACCATAATTGGACTAAATTATCAGAGATAGCCATCTACATCCCTGGACATTTTTAGTTTCAATAAAATGAGAAATGTTTATGTAAGAATACCTACCAAATTGAAGTAAGGACAGTGGGAGTTTGACATTTTAGCCAGCTGTTATTTTCATCCTTCATCCCAGCTCTGTAAATTCTACCACAGTTGGTGAGACTGTAAGGACTGGCCGTCTTCTCATGCCAGCCCTGTGGCATAGTTCTTCCCAGAGAAGAGTGAAGATTGTCATCTTGGAGGCTCTGCCTGAGAGGGCTGACTATTCAAAACAGAACATTGTGTAAAACAGAGAACTCAGTGGAAAGAAAATGAGGGAAGTTTTTAATGGTTATCATCAAGTAATCAGAAACATACAGTGTTTATAAATATATACTCATTTAATAAAGACCAGTATCATAAGTGAAGCAAAACCTGAAAATAATTAAAGGAACAAATAGACAATTTAACCGTGATAGACAAAACTCCACATGATAAATTCAACAGATGCATAGAAAGCATTTGACAAAAGTTCACAACCATTATTAATAAGAGCAATCAAGAAATTAGGAATTAGGGATCAAAGGAAACTTCTGCATCTACAAAGAAAATCTACAGTTGTCATCTTTCAAAACAAAGCATTGCAAAACAATGCTTTCCCCTTAAGACTGAGAGCAAGAAGAAAAGTCTGCTCTTACCACTTCTATTCAGCATTGTACTGGAGGTTCTAACCAGTGCCATCTGGAAGAAAAAAGAAATAAATGACATTTTGCCAGAAAAGGTATAGACCTTCCCTTATTCATAAATAACATGATTTCATATGTAGAAACTCCTGGGTTGTCAATATAAACTAATTAACAAACATAGAAAGATTGATATTGTAGAAATCACAGTATATTTTTTACTGAGAATGAATACTATGAAAACAAAAAGGAAGTGACCAATCTCAATTACAGAGTATCAAAAATAATGAAAAAATTTTACAAAACACTGACCTGTGCACACCAGCAAATGTATAACATTATTGGAAAAAAATTAAAGATCTTTGAATATGGACTGTATTCATGGATTCTAAAACTTTATATTGCTAAGAAAATCATGAAAGAGAACAAAGTGGGGGACTGTTCTCATTTTCATATAATTCAATGTCTTTAAATGGCATTTACAGAACTATGCAGCCATTATAGTGATCAGTAATGGAACATTTTCATTGCCCACCCCCCAAAAATACCTTTTAGCAGTTACTCTCTCTTCTCTCTAAATGCCCTAGTCATAAACAAGCACTAGTCTACCTTTTGTCTTTATAGACTTATCTATTCAGAATATTTCATATAACTTTAATCATGGCATATGTGATCCCTTATGATTTAATTCTTTCATTTTGAAATATATACTTGATTCATCCACATTGTAGTATGTATCAAATGCTTAATATTCAAGCATTTTGAAATTTTCTATTTATCTGTTATTAACTAATAATTCAATTGTACTATTTTCATGAAATATATTCATTATTATAATATATATAATCTAATTCTTTGAAAATTTTTTAATAAATTTCTCATGTAATTTTGAAAAAGAATGCACATTCTCGTCTATGTAAGTGTAGGATTATGTGGCGATGAGGGGGTGTGTGTGTGTGTATGTATTAGGTTCTTAAATAATTATTTAAATTATTTTATAGCCTATTTTACTCTAATTACTCTATTAGGCAATGCTAAAGATATTTTAAATTTTCCAAATATAATTATAGATTTTCCTTTTTTGCCTTTTACTTTTTTCAAATCCTATAAATATTTTTCTTTTCTTTTTAACAATATGATATGTGCACTTTTATGGAGCATGATGCAATATTTCAGGGGATGCATACCATGTAAACTGATAAAATTGAGGGAGAAGGAGGTGTTTTAGCTATTTTGAAATTATGACTTTGAGGTAGGTCTCATTGAAATATATTTAATTTATACATGCCACACTTTATTTTAGGTAGTGTCTTTGTGATGTATAACTCCATTTTTTTCTTCCATTTGATTTTTGCTTAAAAATTATACTATATTCTCTTACAACTAGCATAGATAACTTGCATTTCTATGCTCTGGGAAAAAACCGTGCTTTATTTTACAACCTGATTGCATTTGTACATCATGGGTTGCTGATTGGTTTGAATTAAGTCTGTGTTATTATCCTTTCCTATGTGTGTATTGTCCAGATTGTTTCTCTGCTGGATTTCTTCATTCCAACCTTTCATTTTAATAACCAGCTTTTAAATAACTATTCACTATGTTTCTTCTCAACTATATTTGTATTTAAAGTGGTTACTGTAATATATTTCCTTGATTTATCACAGTCTATCTTATGAAAGTAATGTTTCAACATGCAAAACAATGCAGAAACATTCTCAAAGTGTGATCTCTTTCCTTATCTTTATGCTGGTTTGTCATACATTTTATTTCAATATGTAAAATAAACCCAGGAAGTTATTTATGTTCCCTTTTAATAAGATATTTATGTTCCCTTATTTTAATAACTTTATTTTTAAGAATTCTTTGTTCCTGCAGTTAACCTTTCAAACTATAAATTTTTTGTCTGTAAAATTCCCTTTAGTCTTCCCTTTTATCTTCTGTAGTACAATTTACTTCTACTGAATTTTGCTGTCTTGTTTCGTCTTGTCAGAAATATTTAAATTCTAAGTTTTCCTTTATCACATTAAATACATTGTTGGTTGTCTGATGGCTTCCATCTTTAATCTGAAAATATCAGCCATGATTTTTTTGGTATTTTGAAGCATTTGTACTTTATTTCTAGATGATTTTACATGTTTCTTTCATTTGAACAATATATAATAGCGTCTAGTAAACTTTCTAAATATTACTACATATTTTTACATTTCACCGCGTATACCATCCATGACCCAACTGCCCAACTCTGCCTATATAGCGTTGCAATCAGCCAATGATGATGTGTAAATCAGTTGATATGTCTTTTATGGTTTTTATTTATTTATGTAATATAAAAATAACTGATTTGATGTATTTCATAGATACAACTTTAGGAATATAACAATTTTTAAAAAAAAATAAAACTTTAAGAGACCGATGTTGGGCTAAAATTGATTTTCAGTGATTGTCCTGCCCTCTGTCATCTCTAGTCATTTATTATGTATGCCAGGTAGTTTGTCATAACATAATCATGGAGGATACAGATGATTTATTCTACCCTAAACCATTCTCCATTGCCACAGTTAGAAAAATGCTGTGAGGTACAAATCATTGCAATTCAGTCATAGATTGAGCTGCAACTCTGATGAATGCCAGTTGCAGGAACAATCAGTACAGCTTCTCTTCATACTTTGGCCTTGGCATGGCCTCAATTGGGGTTTGATTGAGAGACTGGCAGGTTTCGGTCTCAGGAGCCCTGAAAGACTTCCAGAGATTCAATTATGCCTTTCTGAGATTTGACCTTAGTGTTTTTTTGGCATCTGTTATAGGCAGCTTCAAAACCAGACAATGGCATGGCTTGTGTCGTTGTGCATGAATTTGTGGCTACCCCCACCCACCAGTAGGACCTTTTCTTGTTAGTCCAGAAAAACTGCAATACATCATATTCTTCATTACAGTTGTTTTGGGTATCACTCTGAAACAAGCTATAAATTTTAGCAAGTGATCCATAAAATAAAACATAAAAAATTGGCATTTCATTTTGGATTTTTCTTTTTGCCAGTAAAGTGCCTTTGCCTAGGTCAGGCCAGATTCTCAGTCTCTTGCCTGGACTGATCATCAGGCTACCTAGGAAAGGATTTTGACTGCAATTTTCATTTATTTTCTTTTCCTGCTGCTTTCAGATCTCCCCAGTGCCTTTAAATTGAAAACAGCACTTTTCTAGTTGTTTCCATGAATTTCAAAACAAAATATATCCAGTGGAAAGTCTGTAGTTCGTTTGCATTTTGATTTTGAGAACTGTTGATACCTTACTTTTTGGTGAAAGCAGTATGATTGACCCACCCACATCTATCAATTCTTTCTTGATTTCCTTTAAATTAAATCTGAGATTGCTGGCAAAATTATCTCAAATTAGAAAGAAATCTCTGGATTGGTTACCTCAGATTATAGACATGTGTGCTTTGAAATGAAATTTATCATGAATTAATCTATTCTTTAGAAAAGAGATTGTGGTGTGTGAGTTAAAGGACATAATGACATAGGAATGTGAAGCATCACACATTATTTGTGAATCATGAATAACCTAATGTTATTCACAACAGTGAAGTGAATACCTAGTTTAAGAAGTATATAATTTCCTTTATCTATCATAAATATTAAATCCCACTTTAGTTTTTTGAAATTTTTTAGCTTTTTAAAAGAATTGAGATGCCATTTTATGTTTTTGTATACATGATGTTTTGAAATATTATATATTATAGAATGGTTAAATATACTTAACATGCATTGCCTCACATAGGTATCATTTTTATACGGAGACTACATAACTTCAAGTCTCTCTGCATTTTTTAAGAATACAGAAACATGTATTTGACCTAGTGGTTAAGCCATTGATTAGCACATCAGAGTTCCGCATTGGAGTACTTGGATTTGACTCCCAGTTCTGACAGCTGATTCCAGCCAATGTGGACCCAAGGTGGCAGTAGTGATGGATTAAGTGCTTGGTTCCCTATCTCCCATGTGGAAGATTTGAATTCCTTACTTCTAGCTAGGACCTGTCACAGCCTCAGCCATTGCAGACATTTATGAAATGAACAAGCAGATGGGAACTCTTTCCCTCTGTCTCTGTTTCTCTCAAATAAAAAAATTTTAAAAAGAATATAATGGATGGTCATTAACTATAGTCACCTTGCTATAAAATAGGTTCCTTGAACTTATTCCTCTCATCTAATTATAATTATGTGTCCATTGACTAGCATATGCTCATGCCCTTGCCCCAGCCACCTCAGCTATAATAAAAAAGACAAAAAAAAAAAACTGCTAGTGAAGATATGGATAAAAGGAAATATTTAAGCACTGTTGGCCGGATTGCAAATTAGTACAGCCATTACGGAAAACAGTACAGAGGCTCTTCAGAATCTAAAAATAGAATATCATAAGACACAAAAATCCCACTCCTGGGTATATTTCCAAAGGAAGTAAGGTCAATGTTTTCATGAGATATCAGTACTCCTTTGTTTCTTGCAATACTATTCACAGTGACCAAGACATGGAAATAATATGTGTCCAATAATAAATTTGTGGATAAGAAAAATGTGGTAAATACAATGGAATATAATTCAGCTATAATAGTATGCAGCAACATGGATGACACTGGGGGCCATTTGTTAAGTGAATAAGTCAGGCATGAAAAGACAAATTATCTCATATGTGGAGTCCAAAAATGTTGATCTAATGGAAGTAAGAATAATGTTAACCCAAGGCTGAGAGGGTTAGAGAGGAGGGGGGAATAGGGATATGTTGTTCAAAGGACCTATTCACCTTCTTTGTGTATTACAGGAAGGCTTATTCCTGAAAATGAGTTGGAAATTTCAACTGAGGACCAGGTTGGAGAAGTAGAAAATTCAGGTTATTTCTCTTTATTTTTAATCATATATTTAATGAAATTTAATCTACCTTATCATATACAAGTATAGTATGTGTTGATCATTTATTTCTAGACTCTTTTCAGTGTATTAATTCACTTGATTATTGCAAAAACTATGATTGTCTACTTCATAATTGGAACAGGCATAGAAAAGTTATGCAACATAAGTTGCTTGGTTTGCAATGGTAGAGCAGTTATTATAGATCAGCATAGAAAATACAGGTTCTGTGATCTAAATCATGGTGCTGTACTGCCTCTTGACATGAGAGTTTGCACATGATGAAGGAGACAAAGAGTCTGGAGCCTCTAATAGTGTGTCAGAAGAACAGGTTTGGCCTGACAATACACATGGAACTGAATTGAGCTGAGAAAGTAATTACATATTTATTCACATTAAAATCTAACTAAAGGACAGGCATTTGGGGCAGTCAGTAAAATGCCACTTGGGGAGCCTACATTGCATTGGACTGCCCAGGTTCAAGTCTCAGCTTTGCTCCCAGTTCCAGCTCACTGCTAGTGTACATCCTGGAAGGCAGCAGGTAAAGGTTTGAGTAGTTAGGTCCCTGCCACCTACTGCAAGACTGAAGTTGAATTCCTAGCTCCTGACATCAGCCTGGCACAACCCCAGCGGCTGTGGGCATTTGAAGAATGAATCAACAGATGAGAGATTCTGTGTGTGTGTGTGCGCGCATGTATGTGTGTGTTTCAAATAATAATTTTAAAATAAAATGTAAAGTTAGCATGATTTTATGTGGGCAAAAAAATCTCAACTTACCCTTATTACATGTGTCTTTGTAATCAATACAAATCAGATCTTTTCATATTTATTGAAGTTACTAAAAATATCTCATTATTACATTCCCATTCATTATTCCAAAATTAATGACATCTTAGATTTGTTAAAACCCCTACACACTGAAAATAATATAAAAACCCTAAAGCTGAAAGGAGTAATATAGCATTGCTTATCTTTAAACCTATTTTCTGTCTTATCTGTCTCTCCTATAAATTCATGTGGACTCTCTTCACTGTGACACCTGAAAAATGAAATTTCTGTCATCCTTATTCTGGTACCCATTTGGTTCTCCACTTCTTTGTGTCCCAGTTCTTGCATTTTTCTGTGGTTTGGGAGTTGAGTTATAGAAATCTATTCAGCAGGACTAGATTCTGACTCATTATGCTTAACCAGTGTCTTTCAGGGATTGCAAATAAGTTTTTAATGTTGCAAGGTGTCTTCAGAAAGTTTATAGAAATGTATATTATTAAAAAAAAAACTGTGCATGTGTTTCAAAATTTGCACCAAAGTATTCGTGCCACTTCTTTTTCCATGAATTCTTTGAAATACCCTCAAATGAGCAAATAACTTGAATACTAATAGGATAATTCTTTTCCTTTGAGGAACAGAGTCAACTCTTGCTCAGTTAAAAACCTGTAAGGTAAACACATGTTCATGGAAGAATGGAAAAAGGAAGGCAATGGGGTGGATATTGCATAGTTCCTTTGTAAATTTTGGTGGACACAAAGGTAGAACTCTGTGAGAAGCTGAATAAAAGCTGTTTGAATGTGGAATTTGGGGGCTGGGCTGCCACATTCAGCTATTCAGTGTGCAGTGCCTTTCACAAGAAGGTGTCATTCATGTGAACCAAAAATATGAATGATGCCTTTTTGAGAAAAGTAATGTACATCATGAAATGCATATGTGGCGGCCTTGGGGTGAGGTCGAGTTGCATGCACTGAAATGCTGTTTGGATTCCAGGCACTCCTTCCTTAGTGCTGAACTACCTCAAGGCACTTAAAACTTTCATTTGAAAGGCAAACTGCAAAGAGAGAGACAGAGAGAGAATCTCCCATCTTCTAGTTAACGCCACAAATTGTTGCAACATCCAGAGCTGGGACAGGCTAAAGTCAGGAGCCAGGTACTGCATCCTGGTCTCCCATGTGGGTGGTAGGGAGCTAAGCACTTGGACCATCATCTGCTACCTTGCAAGCTTATTAGCAGAGAGCCAGATTGAAATTGAGTAGCCAGGACTCTAACTAGCACTCTGATATGGGATGCCATCATCCCAATGCATGGCCTAATACACTGTGCCACAGTGTCTGCCCCCAAGGCACATCTTAAAAATGATTTGTTTGAAAGGAAGAGTGATGGAGGTGGAGACAGAGAGAGAGCTTTCATCCACTGATCACTCCCCTGATGCCTACAACTCTTTGGGCTGGGCCAAGGCCAAAGCCTGGGGCCAGGAAATCCATCCTGGTATCCCACATGGGTAGCATGGGTCCAAGTACTCGAGCTATCACCCACTACCTTCCCAGGCACATTACCAGGAAGTTTGGACTGGAAGTGGAATGCCCAGGACTCAGACCAGCATCCTGATAAGGGGTATAGTCGCCCCAAGCAGCAGTTTAACCTGCTGTGCTATGATGCCTACACTTCAAGGTACTTTTTGTGCCTTATAAGAGACTACACACAGGAACTCTGGACTCCTGAGAAAACCTTTTCATTGATAGTCTCAAAAAATCATACATATTTTTACCAAATGAGGCTTGACGAAAATGGGAAATGTGTCTCACTGAGGACCTAGCCCTCCTTTACCAGTGGAAGGTATTCCTCTAGATTCCCTGATTCCCTGAACTTTTCTCTTCTGACTTTTCATTGCCAAGGCTTTGCAAAGGACTCTCCTGCCTCTCAGTTCCCCCCACTGTGGAACCTCAAAGACAATTTTTCTATTAAAGATGGAAGATTTTCTGATTGGCGTTGAAAAAAACCCTTCAAACCTTTATGTTTATGTCTTCAGTTTCTTTTTTATATATATAAAGATTTATTTTATTTATTTGAAAGAGTTACAGAGAGAGGTAGAGACAGAACAAGAGGTCTTCCATCTGCTGGTTCACCCCCGAGATGGCTGAGAGTTAGACAGTGAGAGAGAGAGAGACAGAGAGAAAGGTCTTCCTTCCCTTGGTTCACCCCCTAAATGGCTGCTATGGCTGGAGCTATGCCGATCTGAAGCCAGGAGCCAGGTGCTTCCTCCTGGTTTCCCATAAGGGTGTAGGGCCCAAGCACTTGGGCCATCCTCCACTGCCCTCCCAGGCCACAGCAGAGAGCAACTGGAACTAGAACAGGCGCCCATATGGAATGCCAGTGCCGCAGGCGAAGGATTAACCAAGTGAGCCACTGTGCCGGCCCCTATGTCATCAGTTTCTAAGAGGGTTAAGTATAGTATGCCCAAGAAACTTTTACTTTTTTTAATTACTAAAAATGTTTTTAAAGTTTTTAAAGTTGTATTTGAAGGATAGAAGGATGTGATAGAAACAATACCAAGGAGATATTGTCTAGACTTTTCTCCCCATTTTCATGTGGTGACACTAGAGAGAGAGGGAATATGGCAAGCATCAGCCTGTTGAAACCATCTGCATGGGGACACTATATGTGTGGGAGGAGCAGCTTGTAAAATTTATAGCTCTGGGGGCCAGCATTGTAGTACAGCAGGTAAAGCTGCCACCTATGATGCCAGCATCCCATATAGGCTCCAGTCCTAGTCCCATTTGCTCCACTTCAGCAGCTCCCTGCTAATGGTCTGGCAAAAACAGTGGAAGATGACCCAAGTGTTTGGGCCCCTGTCGCCCACATGGGAGATCTGGAAGAAGCTCCTGGCTTAGGCCTGGCCCAGTGCTGGTTGCTATGGCTATCTGAGGACTGAACAAGCAGATGGAAGATTCTCTCTCTCTCTCTCTCTCTCTCCCTCTCCCTCTCCCTCTCCCTCTCCCTCTCCCTCTCCCTCTCCTTCTCTCTCTGTGTCTCCCTCTCTTTATGGCTTTGCATTTCAGATAAATATTGTTTAAAAAATTGTAGCCCTGTGTTGGGAAATGAGAGGCATTTTGATATTCCCTCACAAATGAAAAATTATCTCCATTGGATCACATTAGGGGGTTTTGTGGGTAAAATTTTTGTCAAGCCTTTCTGCAAATTTCAAATAGCCATACACCTTACTATAAAACAACATTTGGGGAAACTTAAATTTTTGACCAAGAGGATAAAATTTATTTGTTTTTCCTTCCTAGCATGTTTGACAGTGTACAGCAGACCTGTCCATAATGATATTATCCATAAGATGAAAGGTAAGTGATGGAGTAGATGTGGAGAATAGGAGACTCCCACACACTGTTAGAGAATGTGAATTAACACAGCATTGTCGAAAATAGTAAAGATGTTACTCTAGAAATTAAAAATGGAACAAATTATCCTGACATGCAAGTATTGGATAAATACCAGAAGGAAATGAAATTAGTCTGTGAAGTAGCCTAGTGAATATATTTGAAAGACTGTTTTCTGAGTATTCTCAGTTATTTTTATCTGATTTATTTGTGAGCTGTTTTTCATATTTTTGCTCTATGATAAATTTTAAGTGTTTTTAAGTGTTTCTTAAGGCAGTCTAGCTTCTGTCAGATGAAGTAGCCCTTCAGTTTCAATAGTCATTTTTGTTCCCTGTCGATTGTGTTCCACAGCAGTTTTCTGGTTAAGAACACTTGTGTTATCTCATGCATGACTCAAGCCTCTTGGAAGGCAGTGGTCATTTTTATCAGCAGTGTGTAGATGAGGAAGGAAGAGTAGAGATGTTAAATAAGTCGGTGGAAGCTATGGCTCAAAGCTAAGGTGTCAGGGTGCGCACGACGATAAGGGACGCACAGCTAATAGTGAGCCTAGGAGCTGGTGGCATGCAGAATGTCGGTGCCTCCACAGAGTGGCGATTTATTGTGGGGCATGCGTCCCCGAGTTGCACGGGCATTTCCTCGACTGTGCAACCACATCCTCTACTGTGCAGGGCACTGAGATGTCCCCCGTGTGCAGAGCACTGAGATGTCCCCCCTGTGTCCAGGCCCAGACCCCTGCTGGAATGGAGGAGCAGCTGGGCTGTCTGGACCCCTCCCTGAACCTGGGCTGTCAGCCCTCAGCTCTGCAAGGCATGGTGAGCCCAGGGGCCCAGAGGCCCAAAGCACAGACTGCAGCATGTGGCAGGCTTAGCAGTCCCAGCCGAAACCCTCTCGGGACCCAAAGGAGTCTTAAGGCCAGCGCAGCAGTGCAGTGTGAGCAGATAAATCCCCACCCTGGAGGGAGCAGGAGCAAAGGACCCCTGGCCGAAGGGAGGGGCCGCGGTTGCCTCTCAGGCCCTCAGGATGTTTGCTGACGGAGTGTGGTGCCCTGGCGGCTGACGGCCTGAACAAGGGGGCACTGGTCTGTTTCAGTACCAGAGGGCTTCCTGGCTGTTTGAAGTGCAGAAGCATGTCTCTGCCTGCCCCCAGTCCCCACCATTGAGGAGAGGAACCCAGCCAGCACAGTTCATTGATGAGCTCACATCCCTCCCCCCCACCATGGCAGGAGAGGGCCCAGGCCAGCACAGCTCATATGATGAGCTCACACCCTTCTCCACCATGGCAAGAGAGGGCCCAAGCCAACACAACTCACTGATGAGCTCACACCGCTCCCCCCCACCATGGCAGGAGAGGGCCCAGGCCAGCACAGTTCATGTGATACAGCTCTCTCCACACCCCACCATTATAGGAGAGGGCCCAGGGCAGCACAGCTCATATGATGACCACACACACATCCCTACAATTGTAGGAGAAGGCCCCAAGCCAACACAGCTCATGTGATGACCACACACCCATCCCCACCATTGGAGGAGAGGGCCCAAGCCAGCACAGCTCATGTGATGAACTCATACCCCTCCATGGCAGGAGAGCACCCAAGCTAGCACAGCTCATGTGATGACCACACCCCCCCCCATGGCAGGAGAGCACCCAAGCCAGCACAGCTCATGTGATGAGCTCACACCCCCCCCCCCATGGCAGGAGAGCACCCAAGCCAGCACAGCTCATGTGATGAGCTCACCACCCCCATGGCAGGAGAGGACCCAAACCAGCACAGCTCATGTGATGAGCTCACCACCCCCCACCATGGCAGGAGAGGACCCAAACCAGCATAGCTCATGAGATAACCACACACTCCCCATGGCAGGAGAGGACCCAAACCAGCACAGTTCATGTGATGACCACACCCCCCCCCATGGCAGGAGAGGACCCAAACCAGCACAGCTCATGTGATGAGCTCACAAGCCCTCCCCCTGCCCCCACGATAGCAGGTATTTTCTTCTTGTCATGACGTGCAGTTGGCATGGCTCTGAGCTCAGGAGCTGTGTGCTGGCTGACTGGAGTCCTGCACCAGCTAGCTGCCACTCTGAGCTAGACGGAGGGTGCAATGGACATGCGTGTTTGAGCAGGAGGCGTGAGGAATGATGGGACACAGGGCAGGAAGCCAGAACAGCAAGCTGATGCCACGCTAGTCATGGCAGCCAGGAGAGCACAAGGCACGGGGGTACCCCAGTCGCCCCCATCGGCACCCCAGCCCCACAACTGCCACCCCAGCCCTGCACTCCCGCCCCCTTGCAGCACTCAGAGACACAGGGTGGGGGGCTCCAAAGCCTTCTTCTCTTCCACTCGCGGCTCAGGCTCATCTGACCTCCACAAATCAACCGGACGCTGGGGGCAGGGACCATGAACGACCAGCAGCAGCATGCGAAGGCCCTGGGAGACCCTGGGAGCTCCCGAGATTGCTTTGGGAACCTGCGGGGGAAGGAATGGGGATCAGAGGAGAACGGCCCCGCAGAGCCCGTCCCCAACCAAGCCCTTGCTGTGGAAGTGCGTTTCTGGTCCCACTGCCCCTCCATCGTGCTCTGGGCCCCAGCTCACGGCTGACCGGCTCTGCTGCCTCCATGGTGCCCTCGGCAAGGCAGGGCGGGGGAGGGGCAGGGTCCCTCTTTCAGCTGCTCTGGGATGTGCACCGCCCTCTGCCCCCTTACACCCTGCTCTGCAATAGGAGGCACGGGTATCCCGGAAGGAGGGACATGGGCGGATGACCGAGGCCTTGTGCCTGGCGTGGCTTGTGAGGGAGAACACCCGGACGTCTTCTCAGGAGGAAGCTGGCGACTGAAGACGGAGAGGTAGGGGTTCTGCCCTCCCTGGGGAGCAGCACGGGTCTGCAGGCCAAGATCCCTTTCCTGCAGCCAAGGTCCCCTTCACCCGCACTCACGGGTGGGAAGGGAGCGCACACTTAGCTCTGTCTCTGCCTTGTCCTCCTTCAGTGTTTCCTCCTTGGGCACCGGCCTCTTCCTCGCCTGCCTGCCTGCGGGTGCCTTGAGTGCAGGGCTGTGCTGGTTTTCAGCGTTGGCAAGGGGCATCTGGGTGATGATTCCTAAATATTGGGGCCCTGAGTCAAATCCCTGGGAACAACACAGGCCCCGCTACGGGACGCAGGTGTACCTGTTGTCTCACTCGGGGCCGGGCTGTGACGGTCCTTAGAGACGTGACAGAGGCCACGGGGGGCCGTTCGCAGCGTGTAGACAGACTGACCTCTGATCTGTGCCAGCTCCTAAGAAAGACCTGCCACGGCACATCAGAGATGCAAATGCAGTCTTCGGGCATTGTGGGACTGGACAATACTTGCATTATCCCCAAAGGCCCAAAGTGAGGGACAGCAAACGTGCCCGGGGGTAGACCCCGCACCACACCGAGAATTCCCGAGGGACAGGGGAGGTGCACACAGGAAGCACTCGCGGGAGGAGCTCGCACCGTGAGTCGCAATGGCAAAGGGCGCTACGTGGGCCAGGATGTTGTGTGCGTGCTACCTGCAAGGCACAGAGGCACCCGGGGCTGGGGAGAGGAATGGCTCTCAGCCACCGGGACAAGCGGGCGCCTCCATCCCTAGGGCCCCAGAAGCAGCGGCAGCCTTTCTTGCCTCCAGTGCCATCTTCATGCTCTGCGCACTGCCCCTCGGGTCTGAGACGGGGATTCTGGCGGGAGACGCGGCCCGTATGGGACAGAGAACGCGAGGACCTACACCCGGAACCAACAAAATTCACTGAGAGGGCGTGCCCGAGGAGCCCGGCACAGTGTCCACACACGTGCTGGGGCTTCACAGCCTTTCCAGCTCGGAGCAGCTCACGTGGTCTGCAGCCTGATTACCTGCTGGAGCTCTGGAGACACCGGCTTCTCCACCCGGGAGGCCGAGCCTCCTGTCAGTCTCCCAGGCCACCAGATGGCTCCCCGCGCACCATTTGGGGAAGCTGAGGATGAGAAGTGCCCACCTCCCCGACCTGGGACCCAACAAGTTGTCTGTGGGACACGAAAGGCTCCCCCTCTGCTGGTCCTCTGCTCCTGCTCCCGGTCCTCAGGAGGCAACAACCCAGGGGCGGAGGGAACACAGACAGTGGTGGCCCTGGGCTGCCGCTGCCTGGCTGGCTGTCTAGAGCAGGCGGTCTAAGCTGGGAAGGGCTTAGCGCCCACGCGGGACGAAGGACGGGGGCAGGCGCATGTTGCACAGGGCTGGGTGTGTGAGGGTCAGCAGAGCCGGTCCCTGTCCCTGGGTCCCACCTGAACTCCATGAGCCTGCCTTGGCAGGCAGTGCTGAGGTGTCTAAGCTCTGTAGAAGGGTGTGCAGAGCACTTACCCAGGAACCTCCCCGCCTCCCCTAAGGAAAGTCCCCTGGATCCGGAAGCCCGGGGTACCCACTGCAGTCCCGGAATAAATCTGCTTCACTCAGCCAAGACACAAAGGGCTGGTGACCGCTAGGTTGTCTCCAAGGGCCTTGCATCTCCTCTCCACTCTTCAGTCCTGAGGAAAGAGGGCACACACAAGCAGTCCGAGGAGGCCAAAATGGTGTTGCCCCATTCTGTGGGGCTGACCTGCCTCCCCTCCCTTCATTGCAGCACACAGAATAGTGGGGAAAACAATGAAAATGAACGCAGTGTAGCTACTCACCAAGTGTGCGCCCTGCCTATCCCTGCAACGCTGCTCACGCGGCAACAGCAAAGAGCCTACGTGGCTGCCGCCAGCTTGCAAGTGGGCAAGAGGAGTGCTCCAGGGACCTGCCCGAGCCAGGCGCACCCCTGCCCTCTTCCACCCTACCCAGGCAGTGTCTCCTCACCGGACCGGAGCTCAGTGGGAGAGAACAAGACCTCCTTTCCTTCCCCAGCGCGGGCGCCTGCTTGCCTGCTGATCGCCACAGTAGACTGAGATGGCCATGCCTTACGCAGGGGCTGAGGAGAAAAGACACTCGCGGCAGCCTTCTGTTTGCAGGCCTTGGGTTCCTGTTCCGGCGTCTCTTACCTGAGCTCCCCTGTGCGGAAGGAGCAATGCCAGCACCGGGACCCAGGAGGTGAGCAAGGCAGAAGTCTAACACCTTTCTCGGGGGGAGGGGTCGGGGATCCAGCTTCCTACTCATGTCCTGGAAGGAAAACAGCTCTTCCCCCCCCCCCCGCCCCAAACCCTTCCATCCCACCCTCAGGAGGAGCCCGCCCCAGCAGTGACCTCCAGGCTTCGTGCAAAGACCCTAGACCCTTCCCGCTGCCCATCCTTGCCTAGGGGAGCCTGCCCTTCCTGCAGAGGAACACACTGGGGTCAGGCCTGAGACCTTTTCCCACCACTGTGTTCTGCCACGTGTGGCCTCTGGTAGAGGTACTCACCGCCCCCCCCACCCCGAAGGGTCTCGAGTCAGTGCAGAGGCCTGGAGACAGGACCATGGGCTCAGGGACTGCCAGACCCTCCCCGAGCACCCACGCGGGAAAGAGCCCACTCAGCTCACCAGAAGTGGTCTACGGTGCAGTGAGTCCACCCGTCGCGAGTGTCTTTTCTCCTCAGCCCCTGCGTAAGGCATGGCCATCTCACGCTACTGTGGCGATCAGCAGGCAAGCAGGCGCCCGCGCTGGGGAAGGAAAGAGGTCTTGTTCTCTCACCTGCAAGGAGAGCTGGAAGAGCGTCCTGTGGGGGGCGCACCTGCTAGGAAGCGTGTCGGGCCCCTCCCCTTCCCAGGGCGGGGTTTCCCGAAGGCCTCACAGGTGCTCCCTGAGATCAGCTTTTCACTCTGAGGTCGGTGCCTGCTTTTCCAGGCGACACTGAAACAGCAGCAGCTGGTCAGGGCAGGCGCTGCCCTCTGTCCTGGGAGCTTCTTCAGCGCTGCCTGCAGGCCCCAGGAGGCGGGCTCCAGGGGTCCGGCCCGTGGAACAGGGCTCACCACCTGCACCGACGCCCTGGCAGGTATGTCCCAGACCCCTGCCCCAAGTGCCCATGTCCCTTCTCTCCGCCCCTCCTCCTCCTACCCTCCTTTAGGAGGTTGTCCGCTGTCCTCTGAGCTCTCCACGTGGGGTGCTGTGTTTCCTGCACCCCAGGCTGGTCCACATTCCCTGCTGGTTACATCACACAAGCTGAGGTCACAAAGAAGGGTGGGGGAGGGGCAGGGACGTGGCGAAGCTCCAAGGCAGAGCTGCAAAGCTGCAAAGCTCAGCTGACGTCACAACTGCGGAGCACCCGCCTCCCCAGGGGAGACGCCGTGCTAGGGGCTCCACCTGCACAGGCTCCTTCTCCTGCACCCTGCATTCCTCTTGGGGGGAGACAGACATTAAACAGGGGGATAGAGGGCAAGAACATCTGGAGGGCCGTGCACGTCATGGGGACACAGAGCCTGTTCAATATAAACTGGATTGGCAAGCGGGGGATGCGTGGATCTGGGTGGGGAATGCGTGGATCTGGGTGGGGAATGCGTGGATCGCTCCCCCTCTTCGTGGAGGAACGACACAGAGTCCTACCTAGGCTTCATATCCGAGTCACGGCACCATTATGTCGCTCCCCCTCTTCGTGGAGGAGCAACACTAAACCCTGCCTAGGCTTCATATCCGAGTCACGGCACCATTATGTCGCTCCCCCTCTTCGTGGAGGAACGACACAGGACCCTGCGCTGTTCTTTCGTCTGCTCGGCCCTCCCCGGGTTTGCTGCTGGTTCTTCCCGGGTTGGCTACTATCCCTTCCACCTCCGTGGAAGGGCAGTTCCCCCTGGCCGCATTCCCCACTTCCGCAGGGGAGCGGCACACCGCCGGCCGGCTCTCTCGGGGGCTGCACGGGTTCCCTTAGATGTTCCCCTTAGATGTTCCCGGTGCATGCCGTCTCTCTCCTCCTTTATAGTCCTTCTCTGCCAATCCCAACTCGGCTGAGTACGCTGCTCTCCAATCAGGAGCAAGTCCTACAGTTAATTGGTTGAACTGGAGGCAGCTGTGCGGAAGCTGCCTACTTCTCTCCCAGCGCCATATTGTGGGAGAGCAGATGCATAGAATAAGTCCTAATTCGAGTAACTTAGTCTAGTCCGGATTGCTCCCCACATGCAAGTGCTCAGGAATGCGTGTGTGGGTCTGCCATGTGCCTGCTGACATGGAACAGCCCCATGCCTTCCCCCCACACCTTCACGCCTCTCTCAGTCAATGCCTCCCCTCCGTAGCCACTGTCTGAACACCGCCAAGCCACACTTGGCTTTGCTCACATCCATCCCCACATGCGTCAGCCCAGCACCATCAGCTCTTTTGGTCTGCTCTCTTCCTCTCAACACTGCTATTGGGGTCCATCTGCATGCTTCTGCACAGTAGCAGTCCATGCGTGCTCACTAGGGTTTTCTCCCTCTACAGTCTCAGAAAGTATTCAGTCATTCACATTCTGAAGGCCTCTTTTCTGCTCCTAGCTATTACGGATAAAGCTGAAATGTAGGTTCATGTCACGTGTTTTGCTGGGTGTGAGCACCGTTTCTGTCGAGTGATAACAAGGAGTGCAGTTCTTGCTTCGTAATGTTCCTCGCGAGCCGAGCTTGTTGGCACGAAACACCATGGGCTTGGTGGTTTCAGTGACAGAAATCCGTTTTGTCACAGACACGGATGATAACGTTCAAGAGGAAGACACGACCGTGGTTCGGATTTGTTGGGACCTCTGCCTGGCTCACAGATGCTGCATTCTCCCTGTGCCCCCAGAGGCTCGCAGAGAGGGACAGTAAGCTCTCTGGTGCCTCTTCTCAAAGTGGCGCTAATCCCATGATGAGGGCTGCACCCACATGGCCTCATCTGTCCTACTTCTCTCCCCAAGGTCCCCGTCCTCAGCTAATGTCACTGAGGGTCAGGACTCCATATGGGAGTGGTGGGGGCACATGAGGAATCCACAGTTCTGCACCCCTGGGCCTCCCCACAGAAACTTCTAAGTTCTGCATACATGCAATGCACTCCGTTTATGCAAATAGCCCTAGGGGTATTTTTTAAAAGGTTGATTTACTCATTTCACAGGCAGACTGACAGGCACAGGGGGAGACACAAAGACTGAGAGATTTTCCATCTGCTGCTTCACTCCCCAAAGGTCCTCAATGGCCAGGATTGGGCCGTGCTGAATCCAGATACCAGGACCTAACTCAGGTCTCCCGTGGGTGTAGAATTCAAGTACTTGGGCCATTGTCCACTGCCTCCCAGGCATGTTACCAGAAAGCTGGATTAGAACCACAGAGCATGAGGCTGGCACTGCGGCTCAGTAGATTAATCCTCTGCCTAAAGTGCCGGTATCCCATACGGGTGCCAGTCTAGTCCCAGCTGTTCTTCTTCAGTCCAGCTCTCTGCTGTCGCCTGGGAAAGCAGTAGAAGATGGCCCAAGTCCTTGGGCCCCTGCACCCATGTGGGAGACCCGGAAGAAGCTCCTAGCTCCTGGCTTTGGATCGGCACAGCTCTGGCTGTTATGGCTATTTGGGGAGTAAACCAGCGGATGGAAGACCTTTCTCTCTGTCTCTCCCTCTCACTGTAACTCTACCCCTCAAATAAATAAATAAAACCATTTAAAAAAAGAACCCCAGAGCAGCTACGGATCAAACCAGCACTCCTATTTTGGACGTGGGGTCTCCAAGTTGTGGCTTAACCTGCTGCACCACAACACTGCCCCAACCCTAAGACTCTTAACTCAGTCCAGCATCATCTCCCATGTCTAAGGCCCAAAGTCTCATCTAAATATCATCTAAATCAGATGTGAGTGAGTCATCTTGAAGCACATTTCCTCTCTAGCTGTGAACTTGGGAAGGCAGGCTCCTCATGAGCTTGCAAAAGTTACAATGTTGGGACATGCAGAGGCCCGCTGGATGGAGGTTCAGTTCCAAAAGTGCAAAGCAGCTGAAAGGTCGCGAAGTGCATTGCATTAGATCTTAGCTCTGGTGGATACTGCTCTTTAGTTAGTGCTCTTCCCCCCTCCGGGTTTCCTGGGGAGTCGGTGTTGCCTGCAGAGCTCTGCTAAGGGGCGCTTCCCTTTTGGCTTGTTGGGCAAGTCCTTTCCACTTGTCTCATCTCCCGGTGGGGGCTCCAGTCACGCAGCCTTCTGTTAGGCTCCAGCCTCGGAAACCAAGGAGGAGGCAGCTCTTCTCCCTGGGCCTGTTTGGGGAGGGCAGCCCTGAGGATCCCCGAGTCACCTTCAGGCTCACACTTTGCTTCTGTGGTGGACAGCGCATGTTCCTGGGCTCCCTCTCTTTGTCCTAGTTTTCCTGTCTCCTTTAGTCCCAGCTGGCAGTGTTTGCATTGGTGCAACTCCACCTCTGCTCTTAGCTTCTGCTGAGATGGCTGATTTGGTCTGTGGTCCATAGCCACACTAATCTTGCCAGATGGCTAAGCCATACTTTTACTGTTCTGTTTGAACAAACTTTCTAATTTTTTACCACACAGATATGCTGAGAATTTTCTAAATCTTCCAAGTTCTGGCTCATGTTTTCTTATCTCTTTAATTCATCTCTCCTATTTCATTTTACTATAAGCCGTCAGGAATAACCAAGCTGCTCCTCTGAATAGTTTGCTCAAAGATTTACTCAGCCAAGCATCCAATTTCATTACTCAAAAATTCCACCTTTCACAAAACATGGGAGTACAGCTGAATCAAGTTCTTTGCTACTTAATAGCAAAATCAACTTTCTTCTGGTTTCTAAAGTATGCTTCGTATCCATCTGACACTTCACAAAAATCACCTTTAATGTCTGCATTTCTAACTTGCAACTGAAATATTTCCAGCATCTACTGATCACCCATTCCAAAGCCATTTTCTACCAATTTAGGTATTTCTTCCAGCAGGACCCCATAGCTCAATACCAGGACCGTATTTTACATGTCTATTCAAAGAAAAAGAGCCAATGGGAGAGAAAGCAAGAGAGACTTACTGTAAGAAATTGGCTCACATGCTCATAGATGCTAAGAAGTCCCAAATTCTGCAGCTGTTTAAATCCAGCTCCCAAGACCTGAGATCCCTGAACACCAGTGGTAGATGTTTCAGTTCAAAATCAGACAAGCTGGCGACCCCAGAATAGCTGATGTTTCAGTTCAAGTCCAAAGATCAGAAAAGACTGACAACCCAGCTCAAAGTAATAAGGCAGAAGATCCCTCTTGGTCAGATTATTGTTCCCTTTAGGTCTTCAATTGATTTTGAATGAGTCTTGTTTGCATTGGTAAGGACGAAGTGCTTTTCTCATTCTACCTTTTTGAAGGTTAATATCATCCAGAAATACCCTCAGAGACAAATCCAGATTAATGTTTGACCAAAAGACTGTGCATTTTATACCCAACTTGACACACAGACAATATAATTTCATATTATAATTAACCATTTGATTATCCTTTTTGTGCTATTCACATTCATACTTTAATCATATTTTAATTGGTAGGCTGTCTTTATCTTTCTGATTTGTAGCATTTCTGTACATGTTCTTCATTTGGATCCTTTGTTGGCTTCATGAATTATAAATACGTTCTTTACATCCGCAGCATGCCTTTTCACTGTAAATGATACCTCCGAGGAGCTAATCGAGCTAATTTTGTTTTCAAAGGAATATAAGATAATGTTGACCACTGTCCACCACTATTTATAATAAAGTAAATAATATATACTTGGATAATATTCTAATTACTACACAGTTGTTGTGATTGCTGAACCAGTAACCCAGATATTGGAAAGGTTGACCGACATGTAAGGAATGAGATGGAACAAAGAAAAAATATGAAGGTCAATAATTTCGATTATAATAGTTTATTCACCCATTTATGCCATTATGTCCTAAACTGCCAGTGTCTCCAACCTTCTGATTAGGTTTCCATGAACCAAGATTAGACATTCTATGAATCATGACCTTTTACTCAATATAGCACTGGGATTTAAACTTTTTGTAAAGGAATGTCTCACTAGAAGAATCTTTAAATAACCATTTATCTAAGCCTTGCTTAGCTTATTAAAATACACCAAGGAATTGCTATTTTATTTGTCCTGATTTGTTTTCTATTCCAAAATCATGAGATAGTCATGATTATGTTTTTGTCTATAAGCATTATTGCTTTATCTTCCTTTTTAAATAAATATTTTATTTATTTAT